CATTATCTGTATTAACTGCACCTGTTTAAACCTGTTACCTGTATAAAAAGACATCTGTCCACTAGGGCTGTAACAACGAATCGATAAAAAAAAAAAGATAAAAATCAGTTATTAAAATAGTTGGCAATGAATTTCATTATTGATTTGTTGTGTTGCACGATTTATTATGCCAGTCAATAATTCGCAGAGATGTTTCAGTATAAATAAAAAAAGTTGAGTTGAGCACAGAGCGGAGTAGATCTATGAGGCGCTTGGGCAAAGGCGAAGTAACCTCCGAGAGCGAGTCCGAGTGTGTCTGCGCGCGAGAGAGACTGAGTGAGTCTGAGCATTAGTAAGTTGGTACATCATTCATGGTACATAGTTATATATAATTACTAGGGGTGGCACGGTACATGAAAAAACACCCGAACCGTTCGGTTCGCTTGTCTCGGTTCGGAGCGTGTGTGCGTCTCACGGTTCGACGCATGCGCAATGTAACCTCGTGCCCGTATGTGACGTGTGTTTTCTTTTCGCGCGACATAAACTTGTTCGACTTGGACCGGCGCTGCACAGAGCGACCGGTGAATAACATCACACTAGAGCGGGAACGACGGCTCCGTCACTCACTTTCGCGGTATTTGATGTCATTACCGATCGCTCTGTGCAGCGCCGGTTCAAGTTAGTAAACAAGCCAGTAAAAGTGGAGTATGGAGCGCTGCAGGTCACGGCACGCGGAGAAATGGCAAGTGGGAGAGATGAGGGAGTTGGAGGATGCGCCAGCGTCAATTTTTGGGAATAGAAGCATTGTTGATACTGTTTTTGTGTTGAGGTTGAACTTTTCACTTTATGTTTATAGCCTTTGCTATTTCTATAGCCTAATTATAGGCAATGAGGTTTCATGTATATTGACTTATTCATAAAAGACAGTGTAGTTCCTCTTTTTTTCTTTTAAAAGATAGAATTTGTGTAAGAGCTACAAAAGTTGTCAGTTCATAAATGCAAGTTAATTTCTTTGTGTAAATAAGATTTGTGTGATAAAAATGCACAAGTTCTTGTAGAGATAGTGATACACATTCTCCTTTTTTTTGCCAAATAAACGAAAAGCATGTCAATTTCTTCTCTCTTGCTTTATCAAAATCTCACCTAGCTTTCCTCTGAGATAGTCCCAAAATGTGCTTAAAGTCAAAGAGTCAAATTCAGTTTGTGCATGATTGCATGAATATAATTTTTTTTATACTGTATCCTAAAGTGGGGATAATTAAGCTATATATCACATGCTGAAGTACATTTCTGGAGTGTTAAAGATTAAAAGAAAAAAATAACAAGAACCGTACAGAACCGAAAACCGTGACACTAAAACCGTGATACAAACCGAACCGTCGGTTTCGTGAACCGTGCCACCCCTAATAATTACTATGTAAGAGTCATGGAGGTTCGATAATTGGACAACCACTGAATTAGCAGACAGTGATTTGAATCAGACCGAAGATGAAAACACTTTCTTGTCTGACCCAAGTAACACTACAAGGGGAATATTTTTTCCTCAATTTGCAGCAAAGAATTTTTCAATCTTTACTCTAAACGACCCAATTTACTCTAAACTGTGTGCTCGGAAAGGATGAGCTGTAAAATACCTTACACACCACATGAGGTGCTCAATCCATTGTTTTTTTTATATTATTTTATATTGTATTTATATTTTATATACATTGCATTTATATTTAATATTAGGATAGACCACTGATCTATACAGAATGACTGGATAGCTCATGACATCATAAACAGTGAAGTCACCGCACCACCATATTGGTATTCCCTAGTGAGCTCATGCGTTCTATTGAATCAAAAGGCAATTTGCATGATTTGACTGAGAAAACATTGCATAACGAGACACAGTTTTTAAATCTAAAGTCTCCATGAACAGCCTTACAACACAGACATCCTTAGCATTTAAATGGGTATTTGTCCCATTTAAATGGGTATTTGTATATTAAAGTCTAAAAGTTAAGTATATGTTAATTGTGAACTTAAAATCTCTTTCTGATTGTGTTTGACAGATAGATCAGTAGTCTTTTTAAGTATTTGATTAGTTAGCAAGAACATGTTTAGGACATGCATAATACAAATTGTATGGGTATGTACACTTGTTTCACCTCTGTTTCACCTTATTTACACTTCACAAACCTAGGGGCCTTACAGCTGTCTGCGACACGGGTACCGGAGTTGATCGCGCCCACAAATCGGCAAATCACATGGAATTGCTCCTGGTGTGAGTTGACACCGTATGAAGGTAGGAATAAAACATTGTCGGCATCGCAGATGTGTGCATTGTAAATAAGGTGTTTACACATAGGCCTACTCCGTTTGCAGTGCATATTTTTTTACCATATCCATGTCAAACTGTTGGAGCTTTTTTAATGCACACGGATGCCTGTCCAAGTGCGGTGCGTATACAGCAGTGCAGAGATCACCAGTTTCCACACCAAGTCTATTTCTGCTGTGCTGCAGTCGCTAAATTAAAGTGACAGAGCATGGTTTGTGGTCAAACTGAACACGGATTGACATGAAAATATAGAAAATAAATGCATTTAATTAAATTAATAATAAATAATGCATTGAATAATATGTTTATTGGGTTTAAACTTGAATAACTCTGTGAAAGAACGCATAGTATGCTATACATTTTTTTAAACAACACGGAAATAGCTACAATTGTGCAAGTAAATTACTATATATGGGCTTAAATTACAACCTGTGGGCAGTTTTTCTAGTTCCTTTTGTGAACTTTGTTTTACACTTGTTGATGCACAGCGGGTCATCTTAAAAGCGCTGTTGTAGCTATTGTACCAATCTCTGTATAACAGCCGTTGTAACCCTTTGCTGGTAGGGAATCGTAAGATGGCCGTTTTCGATGGCTTCACTGCCTGGTGGCAGTTTAGAACGTCATGAGCTATCCAGTCATTATATAGATCAAGGGGATAGACTAGAGATTTTATCTTCTGTTATAATTATTATTGCTATTATTATTACCTATTATCCGACTGCGCGAGACATGTCTTTTGTGTGCATTTGCTGTTTGAACTTTGACAAAAAAAAAAAAACAAGTTTGTGAGTGTGTGTTTCTGTGAGTGTGAGTGCAGTGCAGAGAACAAGTTCTGACATTCAAACAAATCAACCTAATTTCAACCTCAACCTAATAAAAGTAAGGTTTTATGTCTCTAACAATTATAGAATGTACAAGCCCCTTTATATATAGCTAGGCTGTATAGGAATCTATAGGATTTTTTCCTTTTTTGCTACTACCAAATTACACTAATCTGCCTAGAAATTTAAAGGTCCTGTCTATTTTAACATGAATATATATATATATATATATATATATAATATATTTTGTATTTACAATGGAAAAAACGGTCCATAATTATTGCATAAATATTAATTAACAAAATTCTCTTAAAATAAAAAAAGGAAAATAGTATTGAACAAAAATATATTACATTGAATTTACTGAAAATAGAAAAAGTAATATTTCAGCAGTTCGGCCACTTTTGAACGTGAACACCACAAGCATGACTCCTGAATGAACAATATCAGTGGGTTAGCTCTGTTCTAAATGTGGTTCACTACATACCAAGAAATTATTGTAAGGCATCACTGACATGCTTCTGAAATAAAAGCGATAATCATGCTGCCTTCTAAGATTGTTTTTGGCCAAATTAGAAAGCAGAATAACATATGTTCTCCACGTTTAAAGGGATCATTTACTCATCCTCATGTCATTCTGACTTTCTACTGTGGAACATAAAATATGATGTATGAGAAAATATGAGAATTTTCACCAGAAAAAAAAAAAATGTCATCTGAACAAGCAACATCCACTTTTGTTCTGATTCTGACATTGCAGTAAATCACGTTGAGTAAATTTAAGGCAAGCTAAGGCAAGCAGATAGTTTTGAACACTGTCTGGTTAATGTATTTTCTCAAATATGTATTTTGGAGTATTTTTAATCCCAAAAAAGCTATGCTACGGACTGTAGCTTTAAAAGTTGCCTATTTCCATAGCCAGTACTTTTATATGCCCTGTGTGATTTTGTGCTTATAATAATTGCATTTTTAGCTTAGCAACAAGCTAAACTCTGCTGGGGTAACGATGCACAATATAAAAAGCTACAATACCAGGTATCAGCTGATATTAAAAATATTTTAATTAGGGCTGAAGGAAAAATAACAAGTTGGCATCAAAGATTAATATTTGCTGTTTAAAATGTATACATAGTTTCACTCCCTTTAGTAAATTACATTAGTAAATGCTAATGTCAGATATTTTAAATACTGTCTTTATGTTGTTTCCACAACAATGTAGTGTTTTGTTATGATTCAACATTTTTGTACTTATGATTCCAAATTCTAAATGTTAGGAGTGATTAATCATTATTAATTCTTCTTTGAGTAAATATAAAATGTATCGCTATTGAATTTTTTTACATTTTTTACATTTGGATTTCCTTTGCCATCAAACACTCAGAGTTAATATTTAAAAACACTGTTAAATGTAATCATTAGCAAATCTCATAATGATTATCCATACTTTACAATTGTATTTAATATAGTTGTGATGCCTTAAATGACTTGAAGCATTTACTTTTTTAAATATTATATGATTTTAATATCTGTCATATATTGCTTATTTGACATAAGATTAAACAAAAATAACTACTGGTATATTGGCCATGTCTAACTGAAAGTTGAGTCTCCTATGCGTGTAATGAGCACTATTTGTGCATGTGACTGACCATTAAAAAAAAAAAAGTTACTGCCAAATCAGTCACATGATGTTCTCTTTCAGTTTAGATGCTGCCTTATACAAGGCCATTGACAATGCAGTATACAACTCTCTAAGTTTTGAGGAAAGAGCTAACGTCTACACACACCTGTAAGAAAAAGCATTATAGAGCTTTATACCTAAACTCTAAAATGGTTACCCTTACTTGTGTCTCTTCAAAGCAGAGGAGGGTGTTTACCTGAAAATAGGTGTGTGTCCTGGTTTGGGTTTGTTCCATGTAAAGTGAGATGGGACAGAAAGAAACTGCTCTCCAGATCCATCCTTCTTTATTCCGTGCATGGCATCCTCACCAGGTGAGTCAAGCAAAGGAGATACATTCCCAGAATCATCCATGCCCATGTCACCCTTCCCTGTCTGGATTGCTGCTGTACAGTCCTGGGAGGTCTTCCTGGTCTTGGAGGGGATGTCAGCCTCAGAGGGACAACATTGGAAAGGGGACATACCCATGGATGGGCTTCCTATCCAGGTGTCTTCAGTCACGCTGCCCCTGGGCGAGGGGCCGGGAGTGACAGTAGGGGAGTGATGGGGTGATAAAGAGCCCAGGCAGCATATATCAGCGCTGGAGTGGCGTCTCTTCCCACAGGGCGATGTCGGGCGCGAAGAGGGCCGTGAAGGCGAACGAGGGCTCAGCCAGTTCTCATCTGTGACACTGGTACGGGGCGAGTGACAGGGCGACTGGCGGGGTGAGAGAGAATGGCCGTGTGATTGAGAAAGGGAGTGAGGGAAGGCCTGGTGATGATGCTGCTGCTGTTGCCATACCTCCTCCTGTGGTCCAGCCTGCGGAGAGCAGCCAGGCGAAGTGAGCGGTGAGCCCAGGGTAAAACGCGCCGCTGCTTCGTTTAGTTCCGAATCCACGTCATCGTACACATGTGAGATGGATTCGCAGGACGATGCATCTGAGAACCAGCTTCGTGAGGAAAGGCTGCTACATGGACTCGGGCTCAGGGACGAATCTCGATACGAATGATCTAGAGGCAGGTATAGGTGGTCTCGAGACAGAGGTCTGTCGTGGTAGTCTCCATCCGGACCCTTGGCTCTCATCTCATCGTCGCTGGCCTCCATCTCCTGCTGGCAGCTTGGGGAAATGGAGGTGATTTGGATGCTGGGACATTCAAAGGCCTTTGGTGGGCCGTTCCCTCCTCCACCCATCCCTGTGGGTGTGTATTTAGAGTCCTGATGCTCATAGCTTTGCTCATAGGTCTTTTGGTGGGCCTGCAGGGAGGGGGAGGTGGCAATGAGTTGGGCTGGGGGCGGGCATCCATGCCGCTGGAGACCGTGTGATTGGTTCACCAGTAAAGGAGGTTGGCCCACATTGAGGATGTAAAATGAGGTGTTGTCATCCGTTTCTAGATCTAAAAATAAAACAAAACAACACAAATCAAAAACAATACATGACATCAATGCAACAATTTTTTACAGACTGTGGAAAAAGCTACATGCCCAGAGCTACTAAAAACTACGACTTGGTGGTGCTCACAAACAGACTATTTTGCTTAGTGACAATGAAAAGCAGAGGAAGAGTCTGGAACCGGCTTGTTTGTATTTGTACTCTTGTATTTGCCATTGCTGTTAAAAAAATGTAAATACTGTTTGACTTCCTTTCTTTTTCATGACAAGTGGGTGCCAGAAACATAAAGCTGTGCACTGCTTCCCTTGTAAAAGGCTGTATTTCTGCTTTTCTATATGTGCTACCTACTGTCAGAGAGTGAATTTGCATTGTCTTTAAGTCCGTCTGCAAAAGATTTTTGTCACATAAATCTAAACAGACAAGTCGTATGCAAAAATAAAAACCAAATATTTGTGCAGAACATTTGGGTTGAACAGGCATTTAATGCCCCATTTACTTAACTGTCACATACATATAATAAAAGATTAAATGCAAAATATGAAATATCGAGAGAAAAAAAAGGCTTATATTTACACAAGAGGTGGGTGATCATGATTGTTGACCAGAAAAAAAAATGTCTTTGTAGTTTCCTGCACCCCTTTTCAGTGGCAATGCAGTGATACAGGACATTAGGGCCTGAAAACCAGAACTAAGGTACTCAGTACCAATACAGACAGGAGTGTGCATGAAAAAAGTCACTCACAGAAACTGCATAACGTTTACCGAAGTTTAGTGTAGTTGATGGAGTGTAATTGCTTGTATAACTAACACATAAATAATTACTGTCTATTGAGGCACTTCAAGGTCTGCGTCTGTCTGCTGATAAGGGAGATGAAAGAGAACAGGCTATTTTCTCTCCTCTCTCTCTCTCTCTCCTTTATTGGACTGCTGTTCTGATAGCCTTGAAAAGGAAAGATTTGGGCTAGTTGCAAACAAGCCACTGGGGAATCTGCAGACACTACAACACTAGCAACAGGTTAACAATAAGAGTGTTATGGCACAAACGGTACTGATATCTCAGTATCAGCGCAAGGGGACGGGGTGAGAAGAACAGAGAGAGAGAGAGAGAGAGAGATCCATAGAGTCTGATCCATTTAGAAGCGGATATAATGAGATAGAGAGCCGGTGGGTTAGTCAATGGGGAGAATTTTGGGTGGGGTGACAGATGGGCTCAAATCCAGAGAGGAATAACCCATGCACATGTCATCTATCTCAGTATGTGCGCAAAAAACACACAAATTCGAAAACAAATTCGCACATAGGCGTATGCTTCAGCCCGTCACCACATAGAGACCGACCTTATTAATAACGCCAGCTCGCGCACACACACACAGAAGGCTATTAAGCTCTAATACTGTACAGACACACACCCACATAGCATATTGTGCCTGTGGTCTATTAAAGGTTATTGATGAGCTTCCAGTGACTGGGCAGAGGGAGCCTGACAGGGCCAGACAGCAGTGAGCAGTCAGTGAGATGCGTTTCTACAAGCTGCATTCAGTCCTACAGAGTCAAAGAAACAGTGTTGTGATTTAACAATGTAACACAATCAGGACAGGTCTTGTTAAATATTATCTTGATTCTCCACTGGTATGCTGCTTTGGGAGAAAAGCAGCTTAATACATGCATGTAATGAACTTTTTGACTGACTGACTGTTTTATTTTTCTCTCTATAAATGTTTTTCGACCCTATTTCTCATCTCTCTATTCCTCTCCATCTGATCGATTTATTTATAGATGCTCCACACACTTGCTGTCATAAGACATGCCTATTTGTGATGACAGAGCTAGAGAGACAGGAAGGGGGACAAACCAACATGTCACACAAGACTCAACATGCCAATCCAACTGTGAACTCTGACCCTGCGGGAAACAGACCACTGGGAGTTCAGTCTATCAGTCTGACACACACACTGCAATATACACAAGAACTAAAACATGTTCAGAATAACATTCTACTACAGCGATCTTCCAAACCATGAGATAATCGGCAAAGGCAAAACCCATGTTTTTAACCCATGAACTTAATTTTTGCTGCAAAGAAGGCTTTGATTAATCAGCCAGTTCATTAGCATAACGCTATGAATAAATGCAATGGTCATGGAGGGATAAAATAAAGGAGAAAAAAAGGCACTAAAAGCTTTGAGCATTGGAAGTAGTGGAAAAGCAGGCTGATGATTTGATCTGATATAAGGCTCAGATCAAACATGTAAAGAGATGCTTGAGACATGTATTGTAATGCTATGGGATGGGTGTGTTTCAATGGACATATAAATTAATTTTTATTTAGTCGTCGTAAGTGATTCAGCCTCACTCTAAAATGGCTTTCACCAGGTCCCGTTTCATCAGAAATTTGTAGTCATTCAATAATTTCTATAGCCTAGCCAATCACCATAAAATATTTTGGTTTTGTAATAATAATAATATTAATAATAACCACAACAACAATAACAGGGTAACACTTTACTAACACTTTTATTTTTAATGCACCTTATAATGCATGATCTTAGCAATAATTATAACCACAGTTATAAAACATTACAATAGTATATTCATTGAATACCCTTTTAGAAAGTATAATGCATTAAAAGAAACATAACAATCATCCAATTTCAGATGACAAAACTGTCCCCGTTTATGACCTATATGATCTTAAACAGAAAATGTGGTGAGATAGTCTCTACCCTGCTTCTCAAAGTAGAGGTCTGTGAATGAAGGGAGCAGAGAGCATATGCTTCTTCTCAGCACATTAATCGTAAGAACAAAAGCATTTGCGTCAGGCCAAAAGTAAATATGCTGTTAGGCCTTCCTCAGTCGTTCCTAGATGTTCTACAAAGCTCTTAATTACAGCTTTGGAGACTCACCAATAGAGCATCAAGTCAGTTCAAACCATTTACACGCTTTTTAATTTGTACAAAGACTCTGATATTATGTGTGTGTGTGTGTGTGTGTGTGTGTAGAGAAAGAGAGAACAGAATAACAGAAAATGAGTGATGAGCAACACAACTACAGTCCCTCTCCAAGAACAGCTTGTTCCCCAAAAGACCTTTCAGACTGCCTAGCGGAGATAATGAATACCATGATGAAAGCAGTATGGCCATCCGCTGGCCCTTAGCTCACATGATAAAGATAAATACTGTAATGTGATTGCGACATCTGCATCATCTAAAAATGGAAAAGTGTGGAAAACCAGCAGCGATTACTGTCTGTAAGTGCTCTAAATTTATTCCTGTGATGGCAAATATATATTATTATCAAACAGCCGCTTTATATTTCTGTAAAAACCATGCTACGTTTCTTCAGGATTATTTGATGAATCGAAAGTTAATCAAAAGAACAGCATTTATTTGAAATAGATGTTGTACAATAGATAAGTTGTATAATATTTTGTTAAATTTATTTACAGAACCTCTCAATCAATTTAGTGTATCCTTGCTGAATAAAAGTATTAATTTATTCAAAATAAATAAAATAAAGTAATATACTTTAATATACTTTCTTCAATATACTTGAAGATGATTGTTGCCTTGTACACACACACACACACACACACACACACACACACACACACACACACACACACACAGTTCCTGCTACCTTAATAATAATAAAAATAATAATAATAATAATAATAATACATTTTATTTATAGGCGCCTTACATGACACTCAAGGACACCTTACGGACACAATAAAACAAATCAACAATAATCAAATACTCATTATTACAACCTTGGATAGGCCTACACATTAAAAAAAGTAATAATAATAATAAAAAAATAAAAAGTAATAATAATAATAATAATAATCACATAAAAGCTTGCCGGAAAAGATGGGTCTTAAGGCGAGATTTAAAAACATGAATACTTTCACTGTTTCGCACATTCTTAAATCTGCTGGGAACGTCAGTGAGAGAAAACCTGACCCAGATCAACCCAGAACCATCTGCTGGAAGAAAATGGGGGAAACTGCAAAAAGTGATTCATGACTAATATGGCATGCAGTATAATATAATCTATGATGAGGAAAGTACAACTGATCTTATGCAGTATGAGTAGAGGAGTCTCAGTGTTGCCTGCTGTTCAGATCCACAACAGACAGGCTATCTGGTTAAATAAAGAGCCCTAAGAGGCTTTGCTGTTCCTAAGCTAATAATAGTGGGAAATCACTGCAGTGCGCTGAGAAGCACTCAATGCCTTGCCCAGTCTGTGACACTCCTAATACACAGGCTTTCACCAATAAAGTCACCCAGAGGTGAGTCCAACTGTCCCTACCTGCTGCAGTGTGTCTGTGTGTTAGTGTGCATGTTGTGTGGTTTAAGACAACAATATCAAATACAGGTTTGAGAGGGAAATCATGTCAGCGAGCAAAAGTAGGGCTGCACGATGTATAGTTATAATATCGGTATCGCGATGTGCACATCCGCGATAGTCACATCGCAGGATGTGCGATGTGAAGTATAGGGATCGTAGTAGATTAATCCATGTTCTTTTTTTATTCATAATCTCCCCATTATTCTTGCGTGAGTTTGTGTGTTCTGATGTCACATAGCAACTGCGCAACCTTCCAAAGCAATGCAATTCATAAAATTATTGTCCGTTTACTTGTCACTCATAGCACTTTAATCAAGGCATAGGCTGTTTATGATTCAGGGACGGTGGACCAAACTTGTTATGTAGTTTCATGTCTTTTTACATTAATACAATTAAGTGAAATTATCGAGTGTTATATCGAACATTTTTTCTATTGTTAACGATAAAGGTATACCGATGATGAATACAGATACTGTTGTATCAATCAGGCCTAATCAGCGGTTCTCAAACCTGGTCCTCAAACCACTCAAGCATTGCACATTTTAGATGTCTGTCTCCCTAAACAAACAAACCTGATTCAACTCATTAGCTCATTAGAAGAAACTCCAAGACCTGAAATGTTGTGTAAAATAAGAAAAGCATGTACAGTGTACA